GATCGTAAATTAAAATGTCTCATTTTATGTTAATCTTATCCTATCCTTTTTTCTTATCAATCTTGTCTTAGTTTAATAACCGGTGTTTTCTCATTACTATTCTACCTTTTATGAAAAAATAGGAGTTTGAAGATGAAGATTTATCTCTCATAGGAATCACTCGATAGAGAATGGGGTCGAAATTTCTATTCTGAAGGTTAATTTAGGGTTTCCATGTTTCTGTTATCTGAGAGAAACCATCTTGGGAACCCACTAAGTTACGAGGTGGCTAGCCTCCTATCTTAGGAAAACAGTCGAAGACTGATGGAGTAGAGGTACGATGGAAATATCCCTAAGGGAATATTTTAGTTCTCTAATGGGTCAGTTTTCTGTAACCAATTGTACGTATTGGTTAACACACGAAATGGTGTCCATCACTTTCTAAACCACGGTCTTCCTATGTTTTCCTCATAACAGAGGTCATGCAACCACTTTTTGCTCTGTGAACAAGAAAAGTATCACCTGCATACCCTCTCGGCTTGCTGATCATCGAGTGACTCGAGCGAAGGCTAGCAAATCTTCCATATCTCTCTAACAACGAAGCCAGTTCGTTTCTCATGAACATCATTTTCGTAAGATTTAGTCGAAGACGAATCTTTCCACAGGCTTTGCGGCAACCATTCGTTTCGCTTGGCGACTGCTTGCTGTTGTAAGAACGATGTCATCAACAAAGCGAAGGTTCGTAACTGTGGACCATCGGCTCGGATCAATGGCTCCGAGGAAGAGGAGGAGGGGGAAATGCTAGCCGAATAAATGCACGGCAACCACTTCGTGTTAGCTTATAAGTGAAATAAAGTACATTTATTAATCATACCGAGGTTAAGTTAAAGTTAGTTTGCAACAGCAATTGTCACTAAGTTGCAAGGAAATTAGCTATACTTCAGGCTTCTACTTCGGAAATCTCTGAAAAACGTCGCACGTGGATAGAGGGCCCTGCATTTATTTATATATTAGTAATTATACATAACGCGAAGATTATTCGAATGAATAACCCGGATCATTATAGATGCCTACCCATGCCAATAAGCCAATAATATGACATTTCGTCAACATCTATTTATCTGCCTTCCTGACACTCCTTCATGTAGTAGTTTCTACGTGCCATCGTTAGATATGTGGTTCATGCTAGGAGTATCTAGTGTTTAACTCTTGCTAATTAACCACCTCTGTAGTTGTCCACCAAGGGAGCGGGAGTGGAAGTGGTCACAAATCCCGTACATTACACGCATGGCTGTTGCTCGACTGAGCACTGAGCCGATCAAGCCGACTATCGTTTCGGACATTGGGCAGACTGGTATAAAACTTATCCAGCAGAAGCTCTCTTTGATACACGAAAGCCGGTTACATCCTATGATGAAAACCTGCAAACACTTTGGTAGAGCAAGATTCGGACAGAATCCAACGGTGCAGCATTCGATAGATGATAAAGATGCCCTCGTGTGGCAGACAAATTTACAGGCAAATCCGAAGCATCTCGTCGGTGATTGGTGAGGGATAGCGATCCTAATAAGGGAATTGATAAGATCAAAACAATCTGCGATGTCGAGTTATATAAGCAATAAATAAATAAAGTAACAAAAGTAGAGAATCCCATTCTCATTCTTAGCCAAAAAAGGAGCTGCCGTGCGCACAGTATATGTCAAGTTATATAAATAATAGCAACCATAACAATAATAATAATCAATAACAATAACAATAATGATGATGCTGAGATATTTGCAAAATTCCGGAGCCTAGGCGTCTGCGGTGGAAAACGAACGTGCTACTACCCTTTCCGGGGTTAACTCGTTCACCACCACACCATGCCAGTTCTTCCGGCCGTAACAATAATATTCCTGAAGAAGAACATGACACCCGTCTTTTGGCCAAAATGCACTAAAAACGAACAAAGCTGGTTCACGGCCTACAGTGATTTCTGGATTCCCGACTATAACCGTAGATTGGACGCAATCACGTCGCACACCACACACTCGACCAGTCTCCACATTCATTTTATCGGCGTTCGACATGTCTTTTCTATCGTACTGGATTCATATCTTTTGTTCCCATTCCTTAGTCAATATGGGAGGACTGGAGCTGTTGGTTTTTCTAGAAAGAGGCGTTATTTGGCGTTAGTTTTATGGCCCTTTACCTAAGCCGAAAGCCAAGAAAAATGGAAGTGCATTGATCTTCATTTACGTTGAATTTGCAGAATGGAAATCAGGAAGGGAATGTCTCAGTCGTTTGTATTTGTTTATTTTTAAGGGATTCCTTCTAGCTATAGAAATGTTAAATCCTTAAGTTGCTTCTTAATGGAAAACTGCATAGTAGGTGCATTCATTTCTCGAATGGTCCACCAAGAAGCAAGAAACCCTGTGAAGCCGTTATGCATTACATTTCAGGCGCCATCGTTAGCGGTACCGTTTTCTAGAACCGTCGCCACGGCCTCTGCTCGGTGGAGAGAACTGCCGCATTCTTCTGTGAGTTAGCCGATTGTTTTTTCTTTTTCTTTTTTGCGAGGAAGAGCGAAAAATGACAAAGAACTGGTCAGTGTCAGGTGCATTTGGGAGCGTCATTAGCGGGTCAGAGTGACCCGGCTACCTTAAAGTTGGTTGTCTGAACTTCAAGCGTCTCGAAATCAAGTGTTGTGCTTTGTCTTAAAGTAACATAAAATTTCTCACGCCGTTACAATTTCTCCGCTGTATTCACTTTTGTTAAAGATATCCTGCTAATTTATGGCGTCGCTGCATGAGAAATGAATTGAAATGGATGCTCGGCTTCTGAAAACGAGGTCTGCTTATTGACTTCTGCGAAATAATCTGATTTCTAATACGCAGCGGTTTTTGCGTTGACAACGCTGGCTTTCTTTACGTCTAATTGGAGGTTGGTATCCGAGCGAAAAATTCTTTAAGTAGCATAGATTGCTACGAAATGGGACTTTAACTTTAAAAGGGTTTATCTTGAGCTTATAAAACTCCAGTGAAACGTTCTCCTTCACTATTTCGTTTTGTTTGGGTACTATAGGGGTGAACAACTCTGTTATGTCTTCTGTAATTCATTGGGCTGGTTGTATTTGTATCTTCGATTTTGCCTTCTCCGATCGTAAACGTGTTGATTACCGTTTGGGTCTAGTTTACCCTGGAATACCCAGATTGCATTGCATGGGCGTCTGCAATTCACCATCCTAATCAGTCGTCAGCCATTGTGAATATCGGACTAGGCTTTCTCCTTGGGGACAGCGGTGCTTTCAGGACGACAACAATTTCTATACTGAAGTTATCGATGTGGTATGGGAATAGACGGATGGAGGATGATATGTTAGGCAGAATCCCGATATGTGTATGTACTATACATGTGTGTATTATATACACATTGAAATGAGTCAGTACTTCGAGTTCTTGTTCTAGGTCTATAATTTTTTTGTAGTTCAGGCTTGGACTGAATTCTGAATTTCGGGATTCTAACCACTATTCGTTCAAAGTTCATAATTCTTCTTGTTCTTTGTGGTAAATAGGAACTGATTTCAATGGCATCATTAACTATTCTTCGGGCATATTTCTATTTATTGAATATTTTATTCCCGACTTTTTCCATGTCGAGCAAATGTCAACAACTGCGTAAGTGTACTTCCAGGCTGGATCTGCTTCTGCTTCCGTTACTGAACAGAGCGCACCGTCGCACGAGCCAGGATCGGAAACAATGAGCAGCTCCGAAGAAGTTGGTTTTATTTGTTCGGTGTTGACAAAATAACTATCGTTCTTTATAAAACCTTTCCTACATAGCTTTTCTAAGCCATGAACTGCTGTTGCTCGTAAGATTATTATAACGCACAAAACTTATTGCGTTTTGAGTTTTCTTTGAACAAAATAGATTTTTTATCATAGTTTTGTGGATTACTTAGATAAATAAATGACCCGTTGTTGCATCTCTTGAGGATGCCAGCACTTTTTAAACTTATTTCCTTGTCTTGCAAGCACTATCGTTAGAGGTCTGTTCCGCCACGAGTTGTGAATCCGTCGTTTTCTTCCAATTCACATGTTGAATGCCGACTGAACTGCCTTCGTGTTGTTTAGCATCCTGTAGTCGAGCAAAGGAATTTCTTCTTGCTTGCTACAGGGTTCGTGGACTGGAAAGAAGTCTTTGTGTTAGAGAGGGAGCACATCCTAGAGATTAGCCGATGGTAAAGCAAAGATTTTACAAAATCTTTCGTGTGAAAGCTCAAAAGCTAAAAATATCCTTATTGTGTTTATCCCATTCCGTCTTTTTTCGTGGCTGGCCTAATCAAATACGAGCAATTTTTCGTCAGCTTCGGACTTTCTAGTTTCTTGACAATAAAAAGCTTTTTCTCGACTCGATTACTAGAAGGTTTAAGGGGTTTTGAACATGACAGTATTGTAGAAGACACTTTGCACTGTCGTTCTATGAGCTTGAGTGGTATGTATGCTACTATTTACTATGCGTACTTCGGTCCTTATTGCAAATGCATTGCTGTCGGCATTTGGAAGTATTTGTTTAAGTTGAGTCTATTTTGGTGTTTTCGTATCCGCACATTCTATACAATAATCGTCGCGATTAAAATGAAGTAACAATAAGTTGTTAGTCAAATTACTGGTAGCTGAACTTTTCGAAAAGCTTTTGTAAATAATTTAGTTTAGAAGATTTTTTCTGATCTCACCCCTCCCGTCTTGATTAGCTTTCGAAGAGCTATCGAATAGCTATCATAGCGCGGTAAAGAATTCTGGAACCCAACAAATTGAACACGGGCACTGTGTTCATGCGGGGCGTAATAGGTTAATGCAAAAGGCCACGTTTGGCCTTAGCGTACTAGGTCACTTATTTTTAACTAGAACAGATAAAAGTGTTGAGATTTTAGGAGTTCAAAAAATATTGGACATGATTGAGCACAACTGAATTCCATTTTCTCTTATTGAGTGAAATAGAAAAGCTTTTTGTTTTTTGAAAACAACGTATATTGATGTTTCATGGTTTTGAAATTTCGTTTTAATATTTTGACAGTAATTCTCACATACAGCTTTTTTTTACAGTTATTACCATATTGCACTTCTACTTTAATCTATAATTTTCACTTATGTATCTTCTAGGTATCTTGGATTACCTGGTTCTGTGGATTGAGAGGAAATGAGTTCTTTTGTGAGGTACTGTGTTTTTTGTTTTGAATCTACTTTAAAGCAAAAAATTTTAAAAAATGTGTTTTAATAATTCGTTGTTGATTTAGCTTCCTAAGCGACTCTAGTTTCATTCATCATTTTTTTTTCGGTGGATGAGGAGTACATCCAAGATCGTTTCAACTTGACTGGACTGAACGAACAAGTACCAAAGTATCGACAAGCGCTGGATATGATTTTGGACTTGGAGCCTGGTGAGTATTTGTCCTTTTTTAAAACCCAGTTTCAAAGCATTTGTTTGGATGTCGGGATGTACGCAATTCTTTGCATTCAACACTTGTGGTAGACACACTTGCTGACGTGAATGACGAAATGTTTTAGAAGACGACATGGAGGACAATCCGACGAACAGTGATCTTGTAGAACAAGCAGCAGAAATGTTATACGGCTTGATTCATGCCAGATACATTTTAACGAACAGAGGAATCGGAATGGTACGAAAATCTTGCTTAGTCAGGAATTTTATTAAATCGTACTGATAGGCAGTAAATTAATGTTGGTCTTAGATGGTTGAGAAATGGCGCGATCACGAATTTGGTGTATGTCCCCGTGTATATTGCGAAAACCAAGCTATGTTACCTATTGGTAAGTCTTCATTATTTTATCTTTTTAATGACGCTGCTTATATAAGCCTTGCAAAGTGTTTCCCACAAGTAAATTTTTTTGAAACCGTGCTTTCTGTATATCATTTGTATTTCCAAGAAACCTCAATGAAATAAAACCATTTCATAACTGGAGAAGTCATCATGTTTAAGTCTCTAGAGATTTCTTTTCTTTTCAGTGAAATTTTCGCTGTAAATCATTGATGAGAAAATAATGATGAAGGAAGAGAATGTGAAAGATCTTAATTGCAACCATAAATAGGGTACTTTGATATTTTAAGGGCTGTCAGATGTTCCTGGAGAGGCAATGGTGAAACTTTACTGTCCACGCTGTTGTGATGTGTAAGTTCTCGATAAATTTTTGCTTTTGCTTCTTCAAATTTACCACTTATTACTATTGGCGCGTATGGTACATTGGTTGGAAGCGCCTTGCAATACATACAGGATCGATCCCTGGTCCCCAAGCTCAACAAACGCTCCATACCTCGGGGTCGACAAATTGGTACAGGTTTGTCTGATAGGATAGCAGCACTGGCTTGACACATCAATAGGCCACCACGAGTCATTGTAGAGGCCAAATGTGCATTCATTCACCTCCAAACGATGCTTAATGAATTCGAATGCATGCCCCATCCCACAAGGATAGACCAATGGCAAGATATTTATCCTTCATTCTTTCTTATTGTACTAATTACAAATTACAAATTGCATTTTAATGCGCATTTCAAATTTTCTCGGAAATCTTTGCGCTTCAATAGATCTTCAGGAAAGAAGTATTCATTTTAGACGTTCATAAATTTCATTTATCGAAGGAAATAATTTTGTCATTCGAAGACAACTTCTAGCATCCTGTTTTAGGTTCATTCCTCGCTCATCTCGTCATCAACACACTGATGGAAGTTACTTCGGTACTGGTTTCCCGCACATGCTGTTTTTCGTGCATCCTGAACTACGTCCGCGTAAACCGGCAACACAGTTCGTTCCAAGGTATGTTCAAAATCGTATATTTCTGGAAAGTTATTGGAGAAAATCGAGAAAACCTCAATGAGCAATTCGACACTCGAACAGTAATTTGTGATTTTTCTTCCAGACTTTATGGGTTCAAAATTCATCCACTAGCATACAATTTACAATACCAGCAGGCTCCACAGGTAGCTATTCGTTATTAAAGACATCCTTATGTTTGTTTGTTTTTTTCTAAATTAATTCTAAAACTCAAGGCCGGTTTTTTTTTTACTAACATCGGCATTGATCAACAGCTCTGTTTTCTTGATAAACATACACGAGGCTGCTACTTTACTGTTTATTCACAAAAACTGCCATTTCGACAGATTTTTTTCCTTTTGAGAGCATTAGAAGATCACGTCGTCTGCAATCTTGTCAGTGATATACGTACATAAACCGCAACAGGCGCGAAGCCTAGATTTCAATCGCATTAGAAACAAAGTAGCTTCTTCATACGCTCACCGCTTTTTATGAGTCTTCCTTTGAGTGTTCTAAGAGCAAAATAAATTGTTAGAATTTAACCAGAATGCCTCCAGATTTCAGCGCGCTGATGTTTTCTATTCCTGTGCTGGCACTGTAATTTCTACTTCGAAATCTTCCCCGCTATGCCTTTGTATCCATTGCGCTCCCAGTGAAGTATTTGGTCTAACTTTTAGCTTATCTACTACTTGTTTATGTAAACGGACGCAGAGTGGTCTACGCGTTTCGCCACTGTATTCGTTCCCGCACACTTTACAGTAGATCAGATAAACTGTACCCGAAAAAAACTGTGTACTCATGCAATCACCGTCTCTACCGTGAGTGCGTGTTATGCAATTTTGCCTCGTGCATAGGTAGTTCTTCAAATGGCTACGAACTAATAGGCTAATCTGAACGCTCGGGAAAAAAAGAAGCCAGTTTTCCAGAGACAAACTGAGATTTTGAAGTAGAAGTTGCCTTCCTCGCACACGAGCCTAAGAGTTTACCGTGTAAAACCTTCTAAACATTCTGTATAGATCCCAAGAATTAAAAAAATGAACCGTAAGAAGGAATGGCTTGTTGTCATGTGTGGTCTCACACATTGTCATACATTGGTATTTTTATATGAGAGAGGCGCATGACTCATCCATGTGAACTCTGTGCGGTTGGACTCCACATGGAATACTCACTGGAGGACTTATTGACAACGGTGGATTTGCGAAGAGGCTGTTTCGTTTTCAGTGCAGTTGAAATCTCGGTTTCATTGTTTTCCAGTTGTGGTTATGGAGGTGTTTGTCTGATTGTTTGACTAGATCAGTCAACTTTATCTTTCCAGGTTCTGAAGAAGATGGAATCCGTCGGAACCCCAACCTTTATGAATAACCAAAATAACTCTCTTATTTGTTATAAGGAGAACAGCGAATTATAAATTTCAGAACTCTTTTTTAACACCTGTGCTGAACTTAATGTTGGGTGCGTGTGGTGCAGTGGTCGGTGACACCCGGCAACACAGATGAGATCGATTCCCGCGCCCTGGCCCATCAAGCCTTCCAGCCCTCCGGGGTCGGCAAATTGGTACCATATTTGTCTGGGAGGATAGCAGCATTGGCTCGATACATCGGTAGGCCACCGTGAGTCATTATAAAGACCAGATATGCATCCAATGACCTCCAATTGGTGCTTAATGAAGTCGAATGTATGGCCCAACCCTAAGTGATTGATCAACGCCGAGAGATCTATTCTTTAGCTTTACTGAAGTTGATTACTGTTTATTGATCACACTTGTACATTTGAGATTTTAGCAAGCTAACAACGGTCCACCGATCGAGAAAGTTGGTCAGCATTTTGCTAATGCTTACGGACTGTGAAAATGTGCGTGAAGATGGAAGAATGGTTGCGGATATTTACTGATTACTTTTTTCGCGTTCGTTCGTGATACAGTGTTGTCTCTATTTACATGAGTAGTCAATGGCAGATGAAGCATTTGTAATTTCAGATAACTAAAGTTTATGTTTCCTCTTAGAATTTTCTTGTTGTTTACCGGAATCGATGAGTCTATGTGTTTTATGTAAAAAGATCAACTTATTAGGGCTACTAAATGCTGTTTTGAGTTAACAAACAGCAGTTTCGAATTAATTACTCTTTATCCATGAAATGAGTGACCCTTTGCACCACTACATATTAATGAAGATTTTTTCCAACTTTTTAGTCTTATAGTTATAGGGTTTTTAGGAACGATCTTAGGATACAACCACAATTCCGTTCGGAGTTTTGCAAATATCTCAGCATCATTATGGTTCTAAAAAGTTAACATTGTGATGTTAGGATGTATTAGACTTCAACGAGAATAGTGCCTGATTTTGAACGGAAAATTTGGAAGCTATAATAATGAGCCTCGGTTAAAACCTTATTAGTCAAACTAATATTAGTAGAACCCCATTTTTGCGAACAACGTGGAGGTTCACCTCAAGATCGTTGAATTGTGACGTTCCGGAAGTGACAAGTCCTTACATTGTCAGTAGTGATAATGTCGTCTAAGACCTTTCCAGCTATTAGCTGCTGAGGTTCTTGAAGAATTTGGTAGTTAGCGGAATAGTCCTGTCTGAATGGTGTGTACGGCAGATTCTGTAGCTTAAATTCCTCAACCTCTGCAGTGCCATGTGCGTTTCAATATAGTAATTTATAATTGTTATCACTATTATTATTATTATCACGGGTGACAATCACTATGTTACGGGTGATTGCTGACGGCACCTATAGTTCAGTAACACGGCTGCGAGGAAGACGAAACGAGGGACTCGCATGGTGTGCTTGTGAACGCGTTAGCCACCGAGAAAGGGTAGTATAACGCGTCCTGTCCTCACCGCAGACACCAGCGGTCGGGGGTTTTACTAATATCTCAGCATAATTGTGGTGCTATCATTATTGCTATAATTATTTGTCATAATCACTCTTTGGAAATTGTTATCATCGTTATTATTATTATTGCTAACATTATTATTGTTTTCCATTGTTATTGCATGACCCGACATCACGTGTATTGCACTGTACAAGAGGTGTCCCAGCATTGGAAAGACTTTTATGCCCACGATACTTCAGAGTTCTTAACTGGCAATTCATTTGCTGAATAGAAGTCGTGCTGGGGCCCACACGACGCTTGGTGATCCATGAAGACAGGATGTCCCATTCGTGGTGATGGTGTCGAGGCCGTCAGATACGAGGCTGCGTGGTGAATAGAGGTCCAGGTGGTGGAGAGGTGGTTAAATACTCTCAAGAACCACCATTTACTTGATCTAAGCGAGTGGATTAACTGCTGAGCTGTTTTTATAGTACCTTGAATTAGCTTATAAGTGAATTCCATATAAATGTAGTTATACTCATGATAGAGAGGTGCTTAAGAGTATGTATATTGCGCCCACATGTCGATTCCACCGACAACTGCCATCTGGAAATAAAAGTAAAGTAGGTCAGGGTGGTCCTCTGATGAAAGGCCCAATATTCGGCTTGAAATAGGCTGAAAAAGCCACCACCAAGTGACTTCAACTCCTAAGAAAGCCCTTATGAAAAATTAGGTTGTTTTCGTGTCATTTGATGGAACAGACCCTATTCAGCGCCTCTAATTCGCCATGAAAAAGAATTCATTTTACCGGCGACTGAATTAGTTGTGCCGGTTCGGATTACTCGACAATTAAAGAGAATACTATACTCTCACTGCTTCAATATGAGACTATGTGCATTTAAATAGGGGGTGTGTGGCTCACTGGTCAGAGGAGACCTGCAATGCATAAGGGATCGATGCCGCCGCCCATGGGCCAGCAAGCCTTCCTTGCCTCCGGGGTCGTTAAATTAGTACCACACTTCTCTGGGAGGGTAGCAGCACTGGTTAGACACATTGGTAGGCCACCGCAAGTCATTGTGAAAGTCAGAAATGCATTCAATCACCTCCAAACGATGCTTAATGAAGTCAAATGCATGCCATGCATCCCTCAAGGATTGACTAACGCCGATAGCTTTATCGTTCATGGTTTTTTATGCATTTAAATCAATCTACTTCCGGCTACTGCGGCATACCGTACATGCCGGATGCAAGATTAACGTGCTCCAATCGTGTTTCGACACTCCACGGCTGGTCATATGTTGCGTATCGCCCCGTGCTGAACGTCGATTCCTCTGGGATGAAGTTACTGCTTAAATTGATGTAGAAGTAACTGAAATGGGCGGTACAAGTCCCATTGGTCTTGTCGTTTGTTCAGATATCTCGAGCTTCATCCCGAGTTGCTCGTTCGATGTTTTTTTGGTGCCGTTCTTGAACATAATGCTGGTATTTCTCGTCCACAATTCCAGAATTGTATGAAACCACAATCTCGCCCCTCGAGCATATGCATGACATCTCGTCAAGAACCTCTTGTGTTCGAGGTAAGTGTGCAGAATTACTTGAAAAGGTGGTTTCCAACTGATACTCGAAGTGTTCGTAGTCGTGTAGCGCTTCAGGCTGTTTTTTGGTCTTTTTTTCAAAAGTCTAGCTTCATTTTGGTCACTAGAACTTGTGGTCTCGGACGTTATTTTTACAGGTGCTTCCTCAAGAAGGTCTAAAGAATGAAAATGTTGAGTTCATCTTAGGGATGCCACTTAATCAGGTACCCGTCTCAAGTGCTTTTGCCTAGGATTTCTAATCGACTAAGTGTGGTGTATTCTTTTTTTGTTCCTTCATATCTTGTTTTATCGTCTTTCTAATCATTCCGTTCAAGGTACTGACGCTGATACAGCAAAATGCGAGGATTCTGACAAATGTTGAGTTGATGTATTCAAGAAAGGTACTCTGTTCAATTATTGAACTCATATTTCTAATGGTTTTCTTCAGTTTCTAACAATATTTAGATTGATTATGATTGCCATCATAACTCAAAAGGTCGACTGTTTATAAATCTCGGCGTAATAATCGATATACCCGCATGTACTCGGACAGTTGGATGGTCCGTCCTCAGTGGTTGTACGGGCCCCAACTTACTCTCCGCTTTTCAGAGATTTGCTGAATCTGATGTTACCTAGATCTGCACATATATTCTTACGAACTTCCCTTTTTAGCCGGCGCAAAATTGGTATAGACGTTCTTATTGTTGTTGCTGGCTTTGTTCAACAATGGCTGGCGTTTCAGCGACTCACTCAAGGCCCTGCTGTTCGACCACGATAAGGCAAGATATGGAGGAACAAAAAATAGAGGTTCGGTGGTAGGCTCTGAGGAAGGCGAAGTCGCCGAAACGTCACCCATTGTTGAACAGAGACAGCATCGACAATAAGGAGATCTCGGCCTCTGCTAAAAAATGGCAGTTAGTAAAGAAAATTATATACTGATGGCCTTCATATTTTGTTAGTATCTATTCCAGGATCCTCTAGGGCGCGATATCTGTGTGTATTTAAGCAACGATGGAATCCGCCTTATGTTTCATCCTGTAACTCAACTCCTGCGAGTATGTTTGCTATCTTATGACCACTACTTAACTATTTTTGTCTTGCTTTTTTCAGCTCATCGAGGTGGATAACCTATCACAAATCGTGCTTAAGTACAAGTGGGTTGATATCCTTAACACTTTTGCATCATTTTCTTCTTCTAGTTTTTATTACGTTTAAGGGAAAAGATCTTCTCAGAGCCTGGCGCCGAAGTAAGCATGGATAAAGTCGATGAGTTTTTCGGTTCGACGCATCCTGGAGGTTTGTGTATACATAAGTAGCTTCTTTGGTGGACTAGAATTGTTAATATTTTATGTCAAAGCCTTGCACTTTGATTCCATGTTTTTCAAATAGCTGGGAATAAACGAAGATCTGATACCTTCTTCATGTGATAATAAAGCTCAGGACACTTACTGAGTAGCATCAGCGTAGTTTCTGTGTAGTGGAGGTTTGGTGTAACGGCATAGGCAAGTTCTTTCCACAATCAAAAAGGTAAACATCGTAGGGTTGGGTTTTCGGCTTATATTCGCTGGAGGAGTATCTTGAATACTGGCCGTCTTCATTTTCATATTTGAAAAAGTGCCGGTATATTAACTACTTTGTGTTTACAAGCTGTGTGATAGAGGTTTTCTCGATGTGCAGTCTCTTTAGATCGTGAGTCAATGTTCACTTTCCTTATTACAGCGTACGATGACAAGCAAAAGATTTGCGTGAAAAGCTGGCGAGGATTGTCATTCTGTTTTCCAACGGCGGAAAGTGCCAATGTCGAAGTTACCGTGAGTAATGTTTTCAAAAATTAATCATTATGGTGATTTTCATCAGTTTCGGTATTCTATTGTAAAACCGCTAATGTTATATTTAGCCTGGTTTTGGTCCATTGCGTTCCTTGAAATTCGACAGTGCGACACAACCACGACTCACGAAAATGTCCATTTTTAAAGGAACAGCTGTCGGGAAGAACGAGTAATTTTTACTTACACGTCTTTTTATTCATTAGTAAATTGGACGTCAAGGTAACATGAAGGATCCAAAACGTCATGATGTTTGTGTTTACTGCTGGCCAAAACCATGTAAATCAGAAGAGTTACAAATACTGGTAATCTCTATGCTCATTCGCTCGTTTGGGAATTAATGCAAGCTTTTCATAATTTTCTTACAAATATCATTTGTAATAGGGATATGGGGTGATGTTTTCTATAAGCACTCAGGATCTGTAGTTCGATATTCGCATGTATCATGCTTTTTCCTTCCGATTGTTCATTTGCACTCTAGTATGATTTCGTTGGAATAGGTGAACAAGGAAGAGAGTTCGTATAGGTGGTTTCAGTTGATATATTCATCATAAATCCAAAGTGGAGGTAATCCATTTAACACTTTCACGACGAGTGACGCCTATTGGTGTTATTTTCTAGCCCGTCGTTTATTTCGGTGCTCAGGAGTTTTTTTTTATTATACTTTAATCAATCTTCATCTTATCTAATGCGGATTCTATGGTGTGCTCGTTCATGGAAGGATGTCTTCTTGATAATTTCTCGCCAATTTCTCATTTTGCGGCGAGAGACTATAGCTGTTGAAGAGAGTATGCGGTGAGAGAGTGTATCCAATAAAGAGGCGTAAAAATGCTTTTTCCTCGAAGAACAGGCAACCATGCAGGCTGCAGTATCACTTTTCTGTAGCAGTTCGTTGTTTTCTAGTTTTCAATGGCTGTAATGACTTTTGGGTATTGTTTTGGATGAGAGGATGTCAAAACCAGAAGGCAAAGATTGTAGTATTCTATGCGGAACTTATACAACTTCATTCAATGTGGATAGGAGTATGATTGCATAGTGGACGAGTGCTCCTTCAGATACAAGAGCTGTATTAGGTTGTAACATATGAAATGTCCGATTTTACGTGCAAACTTTAAGTAACGATAGCTTGTTTCATACTATCTTCAAATTCTCCTAATAAGAAACAAATTTATCTATTCCAGTTGCATAAAATTCTGGGGTTCTGGAAGCGATAAATTCGTTGAAGGCCTTTTTTTTGCGTCATAGTCGTTGGTGAAGCATTTCTTGCACGGGAAGTTCTCAAGGTGCTTGAAGAAGTGATAGCCTGTAGGCAAGACGTCTAATGAATATGGCGGATGAGGCAAAGTTTCGTAGCTCAATTCGTTCAACTTTTGCAACGCTGGTTCCACAAGGTGAGACCGGGGATTGTTATGGAGAAGGATTGGTCTTTTTTTTTTGTTGACCAATGGCGGTTGTCAATGTTGGAGTTTACGGTGAATTTCGTCGATTTGTTCGCAGTGCTTCTCTGCCGCAATCGTTTCGCCCGGATTCAAAAAACTGAGATGAGTCAGCTCTAAACAGTCTCCATAACCTTTTTTGGTGCAAAATACAGTTTTGGGAAGTGCTGTCGAACCTGATCGTAATCCAGCCACTGAGCTGAACGTCGCCGGTTGTCATACAGAGTTCGCTTCTCGTTCAACGTCACCACAATTCGGTCAAGAAAAGGGTGGTTTTATTGCGCATAATTGGAGCACACGACACTTCAAAACGGCGACTTTTATCGTTTAATTCGTGCGGTACCCATATGTCTATGTTTGTCGATGTCGAAATCGAGGTTTTTTGTCTTTCTTATGCGGTTCAAGTGAGCGGAAATTGTTCGTGTTCTTACGCGAAACTGTTCTTCAAGCTCTCGAACAGCTGTTCGCGTGTTTGCTTCCACTAGTGCCTTCAATTCGTCGTCGTCAAGTTCATTGGGACCTCCGCGGTCTTCTCTATCTTCGAGGTCGAAATCACCAGATCGAAATTTCCGGAACCATATTCGCACTGTTGATTCACCAACGCTGTCTCCACCACAAACTTGATGATAATGATATTGTGAGCTCCTTCTGCAGCATTATGTCCAGTCTTCCACTCGTACAAAAAGAGGACACCAATATCACGTTGATTCATTCTAGAGTTAAAGCTTTTAAAAATATTAAAATAATAAATCTTTAGAAGAACCAATAGTCGATATAGATAGAGCAGACTTCATGCTTCAAAAAATGTGTGTTAAGTATACATTAAGAACAAAGTTTTTATTCAAAAAATTCTAATGTACCAAACTAATATATGCACCAAAAACATGGGAGGTTCTATAGAAGAACGTGGAACATACGCAAGATAAGAGAAGCACGGAAATTTTTTCAAAACTTCGAGGAAAACAGACCTATTGGACGGAAATCGCAATAGAATAAAGTGGAAGGGGCTAAGTGAACACTGCCGGAGTGGCAGGTGTGTCTTTCACAGGTATCACAGTGAGCACAACAGAAAACTAGGCGTTGCCTACTCCGCAGCAAATACGAGATTGGGCATCGTAGCGAGAGTGTCAATACCGTAGCACTGGTACGATAAATATCTCGAAAGTTCTAAAAATAATTGTGAGTGGATTCTCTCCAATATTGTGGAAAGGAGAGCGTGGGATGCCCTTTTTGCAAAAGTTTCCAATTGTGTACATTATTTCAGGGAGGTTACAATGCCTTTATCTGGTTATTGTGGGCAGAATCGCACTTTATTGGTTTCATGCGCTCGGAGGAACGGAAGAATTACTGGGGTGGATGTGCTGTTTCAAACACAGAGTGAGTTTTATGAGAATTTCGGGTTCTTTTTTTTTAGTAGACATCGATGTGACGTTTATGTTTCATTTGGTCTTGTCTTGATCAATAATTCACTGATTTTTTAATGAGCAGACAGATGGTTATTAATACACTATTTATTCACAGTAGCTGACGTTTCGGCGGTTTCCCATTGGTCAGACTCCGGAAACATTAAATTAACACGCAATCTACTGAGTCAAACATTTTGATAACCTCAGGATAGAAAGCTTATTGCCCAAACAAGGTACTTTGGTATTCATATGATTACAAAAATTAGGTATTAAGCTCTTTTTGATGACGTTACGAAAATGTTTGGTTGAGTAGACTGTGAGTCAATTTGACCTTTCCAGGCTATAAGAAAGGCGGAACCACCGAAATGTCAGCTATTGTGAATAGATAGTTTAATAATAACCTAATATTCACTCAGTAAGGAAATAGTGAATTAACGGATAATTTTCTTACGTAGTTAATCGTTACTTGCGGTTTGAATAGATAGTCAACAGAGTAGTGGCTTGAAGAGATGTAGATAATGGTGGACGGAGTACTGGTGATAGAGTTAGGGCAAAGATGTGGATTTCAATTATAGTTTAGTAATAATAATAGTACAATAGTTTTTTATGATAAGTCTTTTTTTTTATAGATGGCAGAACAACCTCGCGAATGAATTGTGAGCTTGAACTGGTAAAGATCACACGTACGATTTCTTTTGGAGATTCTGTAGCAGTGAGTTAACTTTATTTTCAAATGCACTTTGCCGGTTTATACCATTGTCATTTAACTCGGAGGGACATACTAGTTCTTAGTGATTGGAAATAGTACACAATGTAATATTATTCAAAACTGTGATAACATCGACGTGGGTTCTCTGTCTTTTAAAATATTTTCAAGCTTTAGAGAGTGTTGTCGGCTCTTGGCGCACCATCAAAGGTGTTCTACAAATCAGAAGACAAAATGTCAATTCATCGGGGTGGATATAAAGAAACGCTTAGTCCACTACCGCATTTCTTTTTCAACTACTTCTCTATGGGATTGGTGAGTTTTAGTCTATCGATTTTTTGTATAAGCTGTGTCAAAATATATTCTTGGATCATAAAGAAGGCTCTACTCGCAAGTTGATATCAAATTCAATGAAATTTACTGGTTACTGCATTTTTACTCTGAAAACTTGGAATACATTTCCTATCTTCTTCATTTAATGGAGCTTTGGTTTTGCCGTTATGTTTGTGTGAACCGAATGCGTTTTTACTTATGAGATCTAAATGTCATGGTCACAACATTAATATTATCATCATGTTTAGTAGTGAGTAGCACGATGGGAGATTTGACGAGGTTAGTGACTATCCAGACGAGCGAAATTTCCATCATAGGTGTGACTTGACAGTGAAGTAATTGACTGAAAAAAAGCAACATATTAATTGTTAACATATCTCCAGGAAAATTCTTGTAAAGGCAATGTAAAGGTGAAACTTCAGTAGGTTATAATTTGGTTCACCATTTAGTCAAACATCTCTGGTTTCATGCTATACACAATGGATCCTGTAGTGTCGTGGGAATTGTGATCAAATAAGTGTAGAAAGTTGTCGTTAAAAGCTCGTCTGTGAGTATTTATTTATGAGTTCTTCACTTTGTTTTTACAGTCTTACAGCCTATTTCTGTGATAGAAGTAGCTGACGCTAAGAAATTTGAAAATGTCAAAGTAAAGTATATTTGGTTATTTTCAAAGCGTATTGGTACGACAACATAAGGCTTATGAGCAGCTTAATTATAAACCAGTGGTGTTAGCGCTGTAAATTACAATCTGTTATATACAACTTGAGCTTCTTACCCCTTCAAACAGTAGTCTGCCTTCATAAACGTAGCGGAAAGTCAATATACTTCTTATTTGCTGCTACTAAAAATGTTCTTGAGATCTTCACTTATCCATAAATTAAGAGGAAATCAGCTCTGTATTAGACCGAGTATTTAACTAACTAACTATGCAGCTGACTTCGCTACTTCCTTTCCATTTTGCATGCGAATTTTCTAATTACTTGGAATGTCTTTTGTCTATGTCGTTTTGTATCGCAAGCAGTTCTTTTTTATACAGATGTTACAGTGCGGTCAGGAAATACCTTCATAGGGTGTTCAAGACGTGATTACCTTCTGTCACTTCCGCATCTTTTTTTTTCTTGCTGCATTTTTTCATATTTTTCTAGCTTATTTGCCTTACGGCTGGAGTTGAAATGAAGAAATTGGTTGATGTTGTTCTTTTTCGTGCCATGTGGACAGCAGAAGTTTTGTGATCATTTTTATTTTTCAACTCCGATCGTCAATATTACCGGCAGCAGCTGGTTTTGTGAGTCCTGGGATTCCCTTTCACTGAATCGGTTATTTCGATTTCTGTGTCCAAGTTTTAAGTCACCAGTGCATTGTGGTTTCCTGCAGAATCATCGTAATGCGGTGATGTTACTTAAATACAGTCATTTTTAATTTTTGAAGTAAAGAAGTGCGAAGGACGAGTTTTGTCTATGGAGAGAGGCAACTGATTCGGTAATGAAAGTAAAACGAATAATTTAATAGATTGTTTAATTGTTCAAAAAAGCGTAGCTTAGATCTACCATGAAGGAGAATCGGTGGTGGATGAGCAATTTTTCGCAGCTATGTTTTGTTTGTTAGAACTCCGCAATTTTTACTTAATAAAAAAAGTTTTTGTACTTATTAAATGAAAAATGCTGGCAACACGGAATGTTGTTTACTGTATAAAGTAAGAAATTGACGGTTCAGCATTAAGCAAATCCTTTAGAGGTTTGCCATGCATTCGACTTCATTAAGTAGGGGTGATTGAATATATGACCTATACAATGACGTATGGGACCCACTAATGTATCAGAACAGTGCTTTAATCTTTCCACACAAGTCTGGTTGCTTTTTGCCGACTGTGGCAAAGTGGTTGGCCGAGTGCGCGGAATCGAGCCAAAGGCTATATGTATATTCCAGTGCATTTCTAACCTGCGCGCTAGATACTCCGCATTTTATAAATTAGTGCGGTAAAACTGACCTTAACTCCATTTATGTGAACTCTAGCCTGGGCAAAGGTTTTATTCTTCAATATTAGTATATTTTTGGCTTGAAACAACCCTCTTATGAGCTAAACTTTCGTGTACTTGGCTGCTGAAGTCTTTTTGTTCTTCTTTTTCCTTTTTTTTTTTGGAAATAAACTGTGGTTTGCCAATTCCTTTCACTACAGTTCTTTTATTACTGTTTTTTTTCTTTTTTTACCATTGTGTTGTTGTAATCCGTATGTTTTAAAATTATCTTTTTTTCCGTGAAGTTCCCTTATCGTGCAACATTCTTAGTACAGCATTGGCTCGCTTGCTGCGCGTATTCGTTTCTGGTGATATATTGTGATTGATGACAGTTGGGTCCCGTGGGCCGCAGCACCACAACACTCGGAGTCATTTATAAATCCGTTGGCGACACCTTAGGTTAAGAGCAAGAGACATATTGCTAGGCAGTAATTGGGTTTTTGCGAACGACTTGGGACTGAAATGTAGTCATCAAGCGGTGTGGAAGTCTAATGATCTAGTCATAAATAAACGCTGAAGTCCTTAAGGTTTGATCACTATTGACACTTTAAGACAATGGATTACGGGCATTGATTGCTATGCATGTGGTACGAGAACAATGGCCACTTTTAATCTGAACCCTACATATCTGACGTTATAGTGGGTTTCATTATTTGAAAAAGCAGCCGCAGGCATTCAAATGTAGGCTACAAGTTCTCTTTACCAGCATGATGTTGTGATTGTTTGAAACTAGCACTTTTCCCCATTTTTTGAGGCTCGTCTTTTAAAAGCCATAGTATTGAGCTATTGGCACGTTGTCCAGTAGAACACTGCAGTGTTCCTTAAGGTATTGTTGTCTATGGCTGACGCTAAACGTCAACACTTCTAAAGGCTTAAATGTAGTCTCAAATTTCTGTAAATCTAAGATCAGAGCGATTTTGAAACAGCATGCATTTGAAAATTTGGTATACCTGTGGAGGAAGCAATTGCTCTGATTGTCCAAGAGTTATCGGTAGTTATCAAAGGAACCAATATAATCAGTTGCACGTTGAAGATAGTATAGCTGTATATGACTATAGTTTCTTAGATTATTAAGCTAACTGGAGCTTAGTAAGAGGGTTCATTCGGCTAACGTTTCAATGTCTTCATATATATATATATATATATATATATATATAT